GCGTGGCCTCCCGGCCCGGGCTGCCGGGCGCGTGGCCAGGGTCGCTGGGTCGGGGAGCACCCGCTGCGTCCATCCCGCACGTGCCCTGGGGCATCGCGCCCACCCCGGGCATCACACCCACCCGGGCATCGCTCCCACCCCATGGCAGCGCTCCCGCCCCAGGACATCACTCCTGCCCTGGGACATCGCTCCCGCCCAGGGCATCGCGCCCACCCCGGGCATCGCTCCCACCCGGGCATCGCGCCCACCCCGGGCATCGCTCCCGCCCCAGGACATCGCTCCCACCCCATGGCAGCGCTCCCGCCCCGGAGCATTGCGCCCACCCCGGGCATCGCTCCCGCCCGGGCATCGCTCCCACCCCATGGCAGCGCTCCCGCCCCAGGACATCGCTCCCACCCTGGGCATCGCTCCCACCCCGGGCATTGCTTCCACCCCGGGCATCGCACTCACCCTGGGGCATCGCTCCTAGCCCCCGGCATTGCACCCATCCTGGAACATCACTCTCACCCTGGGACATTTGCTCCCACCCTGGACATCGCTCCCACCCCATGGCATCGCTCCCGCCCTGGAGCATTGCGCCCACCCAGGGCATCACTCCTGCCCTGAGGCATCGCTTCCGCCTAGGGCATCGCTCCCACCCTGGGGCATCGCACTTACCCTGGGGCATCACGCCTAGCCCCTGGCATTGCACCCATCCTGGAACATCACTCCCACCCTGGGACATTTGCTCCCACCCTGGACATTGCTCCCGCCCCAGGACATCGCTCCCACCCAGGGCATCGCTCCCACCCCAGAGCATTGTGCCCACCCAGGGCATCGCTCCTGCCTGGGACATCGCTCCCACCCAGGGCATTGCGCCCACCCTGGGGCATCGCTTCTGTCCCGGGCACTGCACCCGTCCTGCAACATTGCTCCCACCCTGGGACATTTGCTCCCACCCAGGGCATCGCTGCTGCCCCAGGGCATCGCTCCCGCCCTGGGTCATTGCTCCTGTCTGCACCCGGCATCGCTGTGCCCAGCCACGGGCCAAGCTCATGGTCAACATATGGCCAAGGTGACGGCCCAGGGGCGCTGCGTGAGCTCGGGCAGGGGCGGCGCGGCCGCCGCCAGCCCGGCAGGAAGCCTGGGGGAACACGGAGCGCGCGGCCGGGCGCTCTCTGACCCTCCGCTTGGACATGTTTGTTTTAAAGGTCCCACCCAAGCCTGCTCTTGCCTTGTCTCAAACAAAGCTTAAAATAAATAGTGGTATTTCTGCCTCAAGTGCAGAGTGGAACTACGTCAAGGGTCGGTTTAACTATGGCTGTAGTGCTTTGAGTGTATTTCCAACAGACGAGTGATTTGCTTTCAGGACTTTGTTTCCATAGTTAACTGCGACACATATAGCTGCGGTTTGGCAAGTGCATGATGAGGCAAAAAGCAAAAAACAAAGAAGACCTTAATCCTGCCAATTCCCCAAGCAAACAACTCCATGGGGGTGCAGGGCGATTACCACGTTAGCACATCAAACCCACCGGCAGCCCACCTGCTCCTTCAAGTCAGGTAACCACAGTGGGGAGGCAGAGACGCTACAAACCCACCAAACTGTGCAGAGAAAGGCAATTTGGAAGAGCAGCTTCTGAAGAAGGACTGCTATTCCTGTATTATTTCTTCACAACGGTTAGACAACTTCCCATTGCAAGCAGTGGCTGAATGGCTTGGTCCCTTTTCTTTCTTAAAAACAGAAGTGAAGGTTTCTTAGAGCGTTACAGAGGCCATGCAAGTTTCTGCCTCTTTTCCGCTGGCTGATGTCATGCCCTGGTCTCCTGGGCACCCAAAGTCCACGAGGTGGAATCTGAACTCATTTCGTCAGTTTGTTTCCCCGGAGGGCTGGAAAGTGAATGGATCTGTATCGCCCTCTGCAAAGCCATGAGCCACTGTCGCTCTGCGCCTTATATGACTTGAATTTAGATTGCTCTGTGGTAGCCTCTCACTTCTTTGGACAACTCTGCTGTGCACTGGCTATCTTATTCCAGAGGAATCCCTTATGGGATGAGTTGTGGAGGCAAAAATCTGTGTCGCACTTCCTCACCTCCTTCTTGCATTCCCTTTGGATATGTTCCCCCCCCACATTTCATTGGCTTGCATAGCCAGCTTGTCTGGGATTCAGTTCCGAGCCAGGACGCTTACACGGAGGTGCCCGCAGGTAAGTGCCTGGAGGTGTCTGCAGGTAGGTGCTTGGAGGTGCCCAGCCATGCTCTGATGTGCCTAAGCTCTCAGTATGGCCAACAGAAATCTAGTCAGGACTGTCACTGCATATCAAAGAGTGATCCAACCATCCTAAAATAGACATGCTGGGTGGGATTTACTACCTACACAAAGGTGCTGGTGCAGTTTGGTGCTGTGTAGCCTCCAGGTCCTGCTCCAGAAAGGATGTCCTGTAGGACCTGTGTCATACCTACCAGCCTCTTGTGGCTGAGCTGGCTATAGGAAGGTACCCAGCATAGTCCTGGATATTTCGGGGCTCTCATGCAGCTTGAATCATGATTGATCTACTAGATTGCTCTTCAGAATGCACTCCCTGGAGTGAGTGGCTTTCCACTGAGTTTGTAAGAGCTTAAACAGATCATACATGGAAAGAAAACACCTGTCCTGAATTGAGTCACACCACCTGTGTCCTGATGCAGTAGCCCTGCTCTGAAATTGCTCAACAAATAGCAATGCCAGCATTACTTGTTGGCCCAAATCTACTAGGAAGTCAGCTGAGTCAGAAACAGGGACGACTCCGGCCGGTCACTCTCTGCTGGATGACCAGGCTCACGTGTGTGTGTGCACCTAACACCACTCGGCCTGCTGGTGCCTATTTGGTCTTGCCCTCTTTCCTTACCAGTCAGTCCCTAGCCACAGCATTTCCGTAGTCCACCACAGGTCTGGGCAAACACAGAGACACTACAAAAAAACGAAAGGAAGCAGAATTTCCATGCACATAAATATTGCCTTTGGCCTGAAACGCACAACCCTACCCAAACTCTACAGAGCTGCCTCATCCCTGGAGCAGGCATTTTTAAATCTGATCTGGGAGAGTATGTCAGAAACGGCCTAGGATGGGCTGGGAAAACACTGGAAGCCATGTGTCAAGGGTGGAAAACATCTGACTTGTGGCGCACCCACACTGTCCCTTGCCTCTGCTGCCCATGGTCTTTCACAACACCCTCCTTATCCAAGCTACTCACTTCACATTATGATCCTATAAGTATTTCATCCCACATAAAAGTCATTAGCAAGGTGATCAGACACCTAAGCAAGCACCATATCGCTGTGGGAAGGGCTCTTTGATGACAGCACTTTTAGGGTTATTTGATGACAGGCTTTTAGCCTGGGAAGCAGCTTCTTGGAAGTGCTAATTAAGATATGAAGGAGGAGATGTGGAACAAGCCTCAAAGAACTCCAGACCATCCCTGGATGATTCAAGCAGGACATCTGAGCCAAGGGACTTCCCAGATGTTCCTAAAACAGGATGCCCACTAAATATAGTGTCCACATATTCCCCTTGCAGCTTCTCTAGCCTGCCACTGATATTTTAAGGAAAAGCAAAATATTTTGAGAATCTGCAGAAATACACCTGAGACTGCTGTGCAGACAAGGGAGGCATCAGAAAGGGGGTGCTTAACAAGTCTGTAAGAAAGACTGAAGAGTTAAGGAAGCAGAAGAGAGTCTTTCATGCATAACTATAAGCTGACTGCACTCTTTCTCCTCCACTGCTCCTCTTATGCAATCAAGCCATTCTCCAGGATGAGTCAGTGGCTCACACCTAGATCTCATGACAGAGGAGCCTGGCCTTTGTATTCAGCAGAGGCACATATTTCAGGAAAGCTCTTCCAGAGCTTCTTGGATCATTTCCAAAGCTCTCATGCAGGACTGGTTCTGACAAGAGTAAGATGTTGCAAACGAGTGTGGCAGACTTTGGTTGAGCAAGCTTGGCATGCACAGCCAGCAGTACCTAGATATTCTCTCTCATGAATATTCTCTCTCCTTCGTTGTACTTGAGCTCAGAGGAAGTAGTTTGCTCTGCCTTGTTCCTCTAAGTCACTCTGCAAAGCAGCCTGCACAACCAGCTCCTAGTGTTCCCGTGGTAGCAAAAATGGAATAAAGGACAGTAATTAATATGTCTTGACCTTTTGGGTTGAATGTTATTAGGAGTAATTTCTGGAGCTTCTGCAGAAGCTTTTCCAGTTAAAAGACTTGTCTTGCTATTGTGTGTCTCCCATGGGTCCTTTTACAGGGCCCTGGGCTCACATCATGCATTACAGTGCACTTGGTCTCAAAATATTCTGGAATGGGACAAGGACAAGCCATGCAGCTGCACTGGATGGCTTCTAAAGGAACCCAAGGCACTGAGGCCAAGGGAGCCCCACTCCTCAGGGCTCAGCTTTAAGGTAACTAAGTCACTGTCCCTGGCAGCCAGCTGAGTAATTGTCCCACATGGGTGGAACTTCTCGAGCCCTGCCACAGGAATAGCTGGACTCGACTCTTTAGCCTTAACATAGAAAGTGTTTCTTCATTTGTTTTTGTTTGCTTGTTTGTTTTCCCAGCTATCCTTCTAGATGTACAACTGAAAAACAGCCTTAGTTGAGGTCA